CCAGTCACACCTTGGGCGCGGGCGAAGAGTCCTGGACGAGCTGCTTTGTTGTCAGGCTCCAAAGTCGTCTTCGGAGACAAAGACGACTCCGTTCGAAGAGGATCAGGCCGTGACCTACTTTCCTGCCCAGCACACGAGATATGCTTTCCGAGTTTCCGACTCAGCGGAAATGAGGACAGCTCAACGCTTCTCCCGGTGGGGGAATAAGAGGATTTCCCCCAAACAAAAGGGACCGTCACGACAAACTCACCCGACTGTCTGGGCATGTGCGTGTGCGAAAATGAGTGTCGACGCGTCCGTGACGTCAGCAGCGGAACGCGCGCGCGTGTGTGTGTGTGTGTGTGTGTGTGTGTGTGTGTGTGTGTGTGTGTGTGTGTGTGTGCGCGCGCGCTCAGGAAAGGCAGAGAGGCGGGGCCTAACTGCGCGCGAGCTTTTGCTGCATCTTCATTGGCTGCAGTTTTGCTACCCTGGTGGGGAGCTGCTGCGTTGTTCTCTCTGATTTTGACGACTGTATTGCAACCATGTAATTAAGCCGTTCGTTACGTTGCCAATTCTCCCACCTCCACTGAACCCTTGGGTCCTTCACATCGGGGAATGGACGTCGTCGAGTGCAAGGAAGCCTCCGGACGTGCGGCTCCAACCCCGTCTCTAACAGGGGGCACAGCGACGTGCGGAAAGGTATCACGGGCCACGTCCACAGAACGGGATTGGCTAAGATAGCTCGTAGCATCCGATGCGTCCACACATATGAACGGCTAGTGACGGCACTTCCCACGTCGCAAGCAGCCGTCGCCGTGGCAGCAGACGCCGTTATCATCCATTATGCGGTTTGCACTTCACACGAGGGCTTCGAATGACGTCAACCCCTTTCGAAGCAGCTGCAAACCTAATCTTTACCGGAACGCGTGGGAGGGTGTTCCTATTGGTCACACGCACCTTATCATGCATAATGTGGTTTTTATGCTTGTTTTTTTGGTTTTCTTTATTGAAACGGATACTGAGCTGTATGCCTGATTTCAAAGGGGATCAGCTGATTTGCCTTCAATTGTTCGCCGGGAGTTTTTTGATTACAACGACGACACGAAAATTTTCTTGGCTGGTAGCGGCATACAGCTTCGCTGTAAAATATTCCAAGCGAATATGGTTGCACTGCCCCTTCAACATGGTAACTCTCCAAGCCGAGGGAATGTGCGTTTTAACAGTGTTGAGCCGCCGAGCACCGCTCAAGCCCGTGAGCCAGCAGTCGATCGCGACCGATCGATGGGTGATCTGAACACGATTCACGCGTGCGCCCTCGGCGCCGAGGGCGACAAGAGCCGTATAAATCTTCTTTCGATCTTTAATAGGGAGTATTCACTGGCGGCCATATCCGTGTGCGCTGCTGCTGAGCGCGTGCTGACGGCGAGCTTCCGCAGTCCCTTTGGAGCGTGCATTTAGCACCATCAAGGTTGCCGTTCTTAGCCGGCTATTAATGTGAGCTCGTTCTGAGCATGCGCTCTAAACATCACCCTCAAATATGTCGTCCAGTGAATACCTCCTATAGACTCACGTATAATAAAAACAAGGTTCGCGTGCGGAAACATTTTATCTGGGGGACGGAAAGCTTCGAGAGAGCGTGGAATTTCGCGGAACAAACGCGCGCGTTAGACAGCTTTAAAGAAAAGAATTCCATATCTAGTTCATGTCGACCTGGATCGCGCGGCCGCAGTAACCTTGGAATTAGAGTCACTACTTGCGATGGTTCTGGGTCTGAGGGGGATTCATGATTAATAAGCTACGAACATGATCTCACACATGTCAAATACACATTGGCATATGGCAAGTTACGAGGTTGAGATGAAAAGTTTCCGGAGTCACCACCAGGGGACTTTTTGATTTCAAAATATTTTTACGTCGCCTTGTTGGCAACCCTTTCGTATGAAATGACCACTATTGTCAGATTGATATCTCGAAAAGTCTGGTTTTGACAAGTGTTCTAGTGGAGCAACCGCGAGCGTTTCCTCTCATATGGCCTCTACTTTTTAGGGCGTTTCCTCTCATATGGCCTCTACTTTTTAGGATATTCACTTTTTCCACAAGGGCGCCGCCATCTGGAATGTCGTCACTTCTGGTAAGCGTTAAAGCATCATTCTGATCTCTCCACGTCACTGGAAGGTGTTCACGTAAAATACCTAATTATCACACATTCTTGTTCTACCTCACCTATATTTTTTCGCACATTCCAGGTTAAAATGTTCTATGATTAATGCGAAAGCATTAACTGTCTCATGGAGCCAGCTGACGTCATCAGTTTGAAGCGCGAAAACGGCACCTAGTTTCCTTCGGTTCCATTGGCTGGCGCGCGTCGACGGGACTCCCGTTGGCCGCTGCGCTCGTCAGTTTCCACGACCGCTCACCCCATGGCGCTTCGTGCCCATCAGCGCGCCGTTGCGCCCCTGGGCACGGAGCGTCCAAGGTCAGCGTGCCCAGGGGAACACACGCGCTGACCGGCGACGAAAAGTACGCAGCAGACGAAAAAGGCAGCTTGCATGCTTTCACATTCACAACTCATAAAGAATGTTATGTACCTCGACCTTTTTTTTTTCTTTTCGTCCCGTATTAGCTATGTGCGCGGCCAAAAGCGTCGCTGTGGTCAGCTTTCCACGATTGGTCAAACCATGGGCATATGAGCACTGTCAGATTGTCAACTTTGACGGTGTTGGTTTCGGATTGCGATGGCTCCTAGCTTCTACTGTGCTTTTTAAACACACCATCGAACTCGTGGTCGCACCCGATGGTTAGTAGCCAGAATAACAACTGGTGACGTCACGGCGAGGCAAACGTTGGGCAAATCCCAGTAGTGACGTCACGGAGGGAAACCATAAGAGGGCGCCACCGAAACATCTCGGCGCTAATACCAGATACGGGACCCACGTGACTGAGAAGGAAAGGAAACGGAAAACGTCTACACCTGAGTAGAATGGAAAAGAGATTAGAAGAGTGAAATTTGGGTTTTCATGTGTCTTATATAGAGAGAGGGGAAAAAGTAAACCAAGTTATCACAGGAATGTGTTACGCAGACGACATTGTACTGTTAGCAGAAAGCCGGGATAAGTTACAGGAGCTTATTAAGATCTGCGTAGAGCAAGGAGACTCTCTGGGCTCGAAATTCAGTAGCGGTAAGTCGGGAATAATTATTGATAACGAGGAGAAGGGGTACTCACTGAAAATTCAAGACGTTTTAAATGAACACGTAAAGAAAAATAAATACCTAGAAGTATGGCTGAATGAGGCAAAACAGTACTTCGAAGAACAGGAAGAAGATATACTAGAAAAAAGGAATGCAGCACATATGAATCATAGGGCACTATAGAATTACAATAAATATGAAGTTGTTAGGGCAATATTGAAAAGAGTCATGGTGCCGGGGTTGTACTTTGGCAGTGCGGTATTAATATTATGCATTAAATCTGAGGTCCAGTCGTGCTTAGAAACCCGACAGAGGAGCGTGAGTAGACTGCCACTGGGGCGCATGGGAATACGCGAAATGAAGGAGTGCAGGAAGTCATGGGCTGGGCATCTCTCGAGGCTAGAGAGGCGATCAGTCAGTTGAAATTTCAACAAAGGCAAGACGCAATTTAAGGTACACGATGGGTGAGAAAGGATTATAAGCATCTATACAGGAAAAGTCTGAACACTAATTGGGCGCACCGAACTCGAAAACTGAAATTCAAATACCAACAGTCAAGTGCTGGTGCAGAGCAGACTACCTCTTTGAAAAAGGAAGTAAAAGAAGCAGAGAGAAAAATGTGCGAGGAAAGAATGCAGAAAAACCAGCTTTAACTCTATGTACAGGTGACGAAAACAGGAAATATGGAATATTGGTACGGTAATTCACGGGTGAGCTCATTGTTATTCGAGGCTATAACGGGAGTGATGGGGACTAGGACATATAGGACAAAGCATGAGGAAATGGATGCGCGGTTTGCCGTATGTCAAGGAGAAGACGGGACAATAGAGCATGTGGTGTTGAGGTGCACGGACAGAGCTTGCTCCCGCCCTCCCGGAGGGGGGTGACAGATTTAGCCGGAGCGCTGGGGTTTGCAGACGAGAATGGAAGAATGGATGATAAGTAGGAACCCGTGTTTTCGGATAAATCCGAAAAACGCCGAAATACACTCGCCGGTAAGATTTTTGTCAATTCGGATTTATCCGAAAAACTCAGAATTTCGAGGTCACGGTGGCAAAATGAAAAGCAAAAAGAAGGTATCTTACGAATAGGGTCTGTCAGACCACAGGGTTAGTAGTCCTAAGAAGAGGTCATATCCATTTTTTTTTTGTCAGTCTAGGATTATTGACAAATGGGAGTTTCCGTTTATATTGTCAGGGTTCTCCAGTACAACGGGTCAATGTAAATCTGGGCGACGACAAGTGCACTGTTCCGTTTTCCACTTCAGTCCATACCCTCGTGTTTCTTAGAGGATGGCTTGTGTTCCTACAAGAGTAAAAGTTATGAACCTGTAGATTTTATATAAAAGGGGAGGGAAGCTGAAGCATTTATGCTTCTTAAAGACTACATCTAGGAGTTTGGCTATTTCGAAAGTAACGACGTTCATTGAAGCAACACTTGTTTGCAAGATTTTTCGTAACCCATTTAGTACTGCCAATTACAAGGGCACTAGAATGCCAAATGCAGCTGCAGAAATATATTTCAAAACCGGTGAGTTTTTTTTTTTTTTTTTTTATGAAACATTTTTGTTTGGACATTCATTTTTAAATTGAATTTTGTAAAACAGGGACACAGTAAACTTACTCCGAATTTCGGAGAATTTCGAATCTAACAAAAATAAGCTCAGATAAACCCCGATTTTCAGGTGACATATAAATTCAGAAAAACGTCTTCCGAATTTTACTAAAAATTAACTCCGAAAACATGGAACCCAAATGATAAGTGACTTTTAATAACAAAAAGGAAATTGGAAGGCTGGTGGAAGTTGTCTAGGGAGAATTGAATGACTTACTATCTGACACAGCTGGGGACAGGCGGGACGGAGAAATGTTGGGACTCCCTTCCACGTGGCTCCAGCCCAAAGTCTCCATCCTGACTCCCAGTGGGTCCGGTACCGGGGTAACGCCGACAGGAAAATCGGCGACTCCCTGGCAGGGGGGGGGGGGGGGGGGGGGGGGAGGAGGCGGGTAGTGATATTTTTATCTTTTTGCACGCGATCCCCCCAGGGGTCATCCTAGTGATATCCCACACCGCCTGGTGATAGCTACGAAGTTGCAGACGGTAAGCAAATTGGTGAAAAAAAGAAATGATACGTTTGGTTCTTAGTTTCTAATCTAGGTGGCGCAACCTACTGCTCGTTATAAAGGGTATAGCCGTTAGCACCAATACATCTACGGATAAAAACAAAATACCAGCGTTCATCAATTTTTTTTAGGAAAACTGCGACAAAAATTGGGTCCTGGTTTAATGGTTTCTGGGGACTCATCACCGGCACCATGACAGAACAGCACACGACGAAACAGTACGCGCCGAAAGAGCACGCGACAAAAGAGCACAGTGTCAAAACAGCACGGCTTCAAAACAGCACGCGTCAAAATATCACGCGACAAAACAGCACAGCGTCAAAATAGCACGGCGACAAAACAGCACGGCGGCAAAACAGCACGCGTCAAAATATCACGCGACAAAACAGCACGCTTCAAAATAGCACGCGACAAAACAGCACGCGTCAAAACAGCACGGCGACAAAACAGCACGCGTCAAAACAGCGCGGCGACAAAACAGCACGCGTCAAAACAGCACGCGTCAAAATAGCACGCGACAAAACAGCACAGCGTCAAAATAGCACGGCGACAAAACAGCACGCGTCAAAACAGCACGCGTCAAAATAGCACGCGACAAAACAGCACAGCGTCAAAATAGCACGCGACAAAACAGTACGCGTCAAAACAGCATGGCCACAAAACAGCACGGCGGAAAAACAGCACGCGTCAAAATAGCACGCGACAAAACAGCACAGCGTCAAAATAGCACGGCGACAAAACAGCACGCGTCAAAACAGCACGCGTCAAAACAGCACGCGTCAAAATAGCACGCGACAAAACAGCACAGCGACAAAACAGCACAGCGTCAAAAGGGCAGCGACAAAAGAGAACGACGTCAAAACAACATCGCAACAAACAGGGCAGGTTTGGCGTTTTCGGTTTTTATTATTTAGAAATTCGGCGTACTTTTTTTAAGTGTTCGGTTTATTGCGGCGAATATTTGTAGACTCATAAACTTCTTGGTTCTTTTCGGTTTATTGTCAAAAACCAGTATACAAATGATACTGCAATACTGAAAAGCGTTTGTTTAAAATATATTGTGAGTAAACCAGGTATTCGTTTTCTTAGTTGTTACTGTCTGTGGAAGCCGACGCTACCTTTTCTGCAAGACGCACTTGGGCCGAATCGTGATCTGACATTATCGTCGTGTGCTCGTATTCGTACACAAGACGAACACGAACTTCACTGCCACTTCGGTGGGAGAGCCGATTATCAAAATCCAGAAATTTTCCAGCATTGTACTCAGTGCGTTTTTCCCCCATTTTCACGACTGCCAGAAATGGTAAATTTGCGCCGACCACAGAAACGACAATAAAACAATCGTATGTAAGCCCTCCTCTAGTAGACGGTAGTTAAAGGTGTTAAAAATGTGCGGCTTAAACAAACGCCCTTGATTTTTTTTTTTTTTTTTTAGTTCACGTTTTACTTCTTCACTTTCAGTTTAGCTAGTTTCAGCATACATTTTATTATGCGGACTGCTACTAGTACTTATCTTTGAAACTGGCACTTGATGCCTCGTGAAAAGCACAAGCGGTGGTCGTGACGCGATATTTTATATTTTGGGGGGGGGGGGGGGGGGGGGGGGGGGGGGTTCCGGGTTGCGGAATTTGGTAAGCACTGAAAGAAACAATTAATTCCTTCATGTTTTAGCGACGAAAAATGAAAGGGTCAAGGACGTTCATAATTATTCGTGTAGAGAGAGGTGAAGAGCGCGCTCGAAGTTGTTACATGCGTGCTGTTTTCTCGCAGAGCTGTTTTGACGCCGTGCTGTTTTGACGCTGTGCTCTTTTGGCACGTACTCTTCTGTCGCTGTGCCGTTTTGACGCTGTACTGTTTTGTCGTGTGCTATTTTGACGCGTGCTGTTTTGTCGCCATGCTGTTTTGACCCTATGCTGTTTTGACGCGTGCTGTTTCGATCGCGCTGTTTTGTCACGTGCTGTTTTGTCGTGTGCTGTTCTGTCGCGTTCCCCTCATCACCTTCACTTTCCACCGTGAGCTTCTGGGCTTTTGAATTCAAGCGTGGTCGTACGGACACAAGTGATGAACCACGTTCAGGGCGTCCAAGGAAAGCTACCACATTAGAAATTGTGGATGAGATCCATCACTTGGTTTTGGAAGACCACTACATAAAAGTGCGTGAAATTGAGGAAGAAATTGGTATTTCTTCTGAACGAGTTGTTGATATTCTACACAATGGGTTGGAATTACAGGAACTTTCTGCAAGGTGGGTGCCGTATATTTGCTCAATCCAAGGCAAAAAGGTGTTCGAGCCCGAACGTCAGCCGACTGTTGGAGCGTGTTTCAGGCAAATCCAACAGATTTTAAGCGACGATGAGTAACTAGGGGCGAGACGTGGCTCCACCTTTACACACCCGAAACAACTGAGAGTCAATCGAAGCAATGGACTGAGCTCGGTGGATCAACTTTAAAAAAGGCAAAAGTCATTCAGTCGGCTGGCAAGTTGAGGCATGAGTTTATTGTGACGCCAAAGGAATTGTGCGTGTTGATTATCTTGAAAAGGGAAAGAAATGTTACTGGCCAATATCACATAACAATTCTGGACAACCTGAAACAACTAATTCAAGAAAAAAAACGCCCGGGAATGGTCAAGAGACAGGTGCTCGTTCGCCACGACAGTGCACTTGCCCATTCAGTGCAGTCACTCAGCAAAAGCTAACAGAGCTGAAGTTCAAAATCCCTCCGCATCCACCGTATTCACCCGAATTGGCTCAATCGGACTTGCACCTTATTCCAAAGCTCAAAACCTTCCTGGCTGGAAAGAGATTTCTGTCGAATAAAGAGGTGATGGAAGCTGTGAAAAGTTATCTTAGGGATCTCGAAGAAAGTTCCTTCCGGGAGGGATTCGAAAAGCTGAAGAAACGTTGGGCCCAGGGTGTCGAGCCTCGGGCGGATTATGTCGCAAAATAAACTAACTTGAATCAGATTTATATTGTTGTTGTTGTTGTTTTCTTTTTGTTTCTTTCATTCCGGAAACTTTTGAATCTACCCTCGTACTTTATGCTCAACCAACACAGACTTGGAATTCAGCTCAGTTAAATTCCGTTAATTCATATTCAACGCAAAATTAAGGGACGGAAAAGAAAGGTTCAGAAATGAGCGCTAGAAAAAAAAACTAATTTTGTCGAAAAACAGTCTGCTGCTTCTGTCACACTACACGGATTAACAACAAAACAAAACGAATGAAGTCAAAATTCAGATTTAATACCAAGAGGTTTTCTTCCTTGGCTTAACCCATGCTACCCCATACCAGTTAACAGCAGTAGAATACGTTGATGCGTTAGAATAATTAAGCACCAATTGAATTCGTATATAACTATACAATACTTTTAGTGGTTCTTCGACAATTTCCACTGAAATTATCCGGAAAGGTGAAACGTAATGTAACACAGATATCAAAGGCCATAAACGAATTCTTTAAAAATACTTCCGGTGCCTCTACAAGTGAACATCGCGATAAGGGACGAGGGCTTTATTTGCGCAGGAAACAGAGGAGAAATAAAAATAAAGCTTACGACCGTATTCTTGCGATCTCTTAAGACGAGAGAAGAGAGCACAATGGCAAGCTGGCGCCATCTAGGAGGTGGCCCTTGAACTGCATATCACGAAAGTGAAGTTTTTGCGCTATTTGCGAGGTTAAATTACCACCCACGAGAAATCGACGTTCGTAATTTTTTTAAAGGTTCCTCGAGCCAATAAAGAAATAACAATGCGCGAAAAAAAAAAGTAGAAAATATAGGGAAATGTTGCGTGTTCCACGGCTTCCCGACAGACGGCGCCAGCGTGTTCTTTCGTCGATCACGAGAGGCTTTAACACACTCTGTCGTGAGCAGCGGCAAGTGTGCGAAGCAGCCTTTACTCAATACGGTCGAGGGGTGGAGTTCAAAAGCCAACAAACGTTTCACAACTAGCTAGCTCCGTGCGCCGACTCTCCTTTCAGGGAATAAAAGCCTTTGAAATCAAATACAGCTTTGATTCGACTGCCTCGAGAGTTACCCAAGAGAGAAAAAAAAAAAAAAAAAAAAACCTTGAAGGGAAGCGAAACACTCCACACGAATCCGGGTGAAGGGAGGGCGTCCAAATTGAAAGGACGGTCGTTGATCCATAACAGTTCTCGTTCGACGACGGTTTGCGCCCGGGGCTGGCAGCGATGAGGGACCAAGAGTGCGTTTCCGATGTGTCGATCTGTCAGCTTCTCAAGTGGCTCGGCGGACGGGGGAGGGGGAGGACTTCGCACGTTTTCTCTGCTACCTTTGAACTTACGATGGACCGCAGCGGAGGCTACGGGCCAACGGAGGCCACGCCCTGTCTGTGTCGTCTGCCTTTCTAAGCCAGTGTCGTTACAGAAAAGAAAAAGGAACGAAATGCGTTACATCTTACTTGCAAATAAAACGAACGCGCTACTAACCTACGTTACTTCGAAGTAAAAGGAACGCATTACAATTACCGATAAAAAGTAACGCACGTAACTTTTCCGTTACTTTTCACTTACGAATTAAAGGGAAGCAGAATTTCCATATATCGGGAAACAATTTTGAAGGTATATAAATGAATGCAAGAATTCCTATGGACTTTGCACCTGGAGACCCGAAAAATATTGAAACGTAGTTTGTTCTTAAGTTTCGGGATGTAACGAGCTACGTAACCACGATACCCGTTACCCGAAAGAAGTATTCTGTTTTGAAACGAGTAGCTTACTACGTCACGGGAGAAAAGTAACGCATTACAGGTAACGCCGTTCCTTTAACTCGTTACCGCTTTCGGGAAGGGTTCAGCCACAGTTTATCATACACAGTTTGCACACTGGAGAATAACCCTGTGGTAATATCAAACCACGTGACCGAGGTCCTTCTGTCAATAGAAATATATTGTACAAGGAAGCTCATAATATATTGGGAACAAAACAGTTTAAGAAGAACGAAAGTTTCTCAAATAATTATTTAAACCTGCGAAAGTGCCCTGTCACGA